GGTAATTGCTCTTAAGTTTAACGATTGATTAATTATTTGTATGCTAAATAATAATGAGAAATATTAAGTTATACAATATATATCTCTTTTTTATTCTTCTCTAATTTTCCCTTATCTCGTTTTTATGGAAATATTAATATAACATCGTTACTCTTAAAATAGATGGAGGGGGAGGAGTAGATGATGTCATTGCTCGACATCCTATCTCCCGGGGATATCTTCTCGTACGAATTGGAAAAACACGTAACGGAACTTTATGTAATACTTTTTTTTTTATAGATATCTCGATTATAACTAGTGCTCCTTCTCGTTACCTCTTTTTTTTATCGCTGTTACTAATTCTAATATCCGATGGGATAATGCAATTTGAATACGGATGAGGGTAATTCAATGTAATCCTTGTCGATCCATTCATCCGATGGAGAAGTGATATCACGCGACATGGAAGTTAACAAAGGTAAACCATCTGGACTCGATGTCAGATACTTGAATTGATCGGCAATTCCAAATTGATTATGTGATCCCAATTCCTCGCTTTCGTTCTCATCCTCATCCTTGTATTGATAAATTCTTGACAATTTTTTGTTGAATCGAAAGCTTTCTGGTAGACAATGATGTTGACGACAAAAATAATCTTGACCCTCTTCGGCGTGACACCACGTTCCATCCGGAAAATATGGATCGAGACCGAGATCATTCAATTCTACGCGTGGCGCGTAATAAGCGGCAATATCTTTTCGTCGGCAAAATATAGTACAGGCCATCCATGGTTTGTCGATTTCGTGAGTTGCCTGTAGTCCCCTTGCCGTGCCGTCCAATTTAGGTAATCTTTCGCCAAAAAGACGACATTTTAGCGTAGCAAAATCTTGTATCGTCCTACGTTTCTTTTTGCAAAGTTTCTCATCTTTGCATAAGAGCACATCGTAATATAATCCTTTGCAGTCCCTTGTCGTATGATTCCGATTTTCGCAGAATCGTCGTCTAACTTGCGCGCCTTTGGATTTCTGCAGGCAACCGCTACTACAAGAACTTTCTTTCCATTCGCTCCAGCTATCCTTTTGGCTATTAGATAATTCAGATGGTTCGGAAATGGATACACATTCTCCACTGCGACATTCTCTATCGGGTGCGCAATAAGTTCCTTGGGAAAAGAAAAAACACATATTATTATTATTAGCTTATGCCGAATGTGCTTAATAAATTTATTGTGTCCCGAACATGACTTTCGTACCGTCTAGTGCCGGTCCTGCAAAGTAATATCCGCTTTTGTGAGGCGTTTCGCATTGCAAAGACTGACAAGCCTGATATAATGTGACAACGCGCGCGTCTTTGTCGCGTAAAAGTAATTCGCATTGCCTTTTGGCAGTCCATTCTCTTCCAGGTAGATCGCGATATCGCAAATGATTATGCGCGAGAGTATCTGAAGTGTTCCGTGGTTTTGGTTGATCCAGGAGACAAAGTTTGGTTTGCGGAAGCATTTCGGCTACTTCACGGCTACAATCGGACCAAATTGTCTCACCTCGAATGCCTCTACTAGGTGACATTATGTATCCATCTTTTGGACATGCATTGTTGCTCGAATCGTGATGCATTCCTAAGCTTTCAGAATAAGTGAACGGATTATTTCGATCAAATCATATCTCGAATCATATCTTGTATTGTATCGCGAGTATGACAAGTATGACTTACTTATGACCAATTTCGTGAGCTGCGATATAAATTGATGTAAAACCCGCGGACGGATACGGCTTCCCAAGTTGATCTGTAACACCCAATTCTGCTATCACACAGGAATAACGTGGGATGCACAATCCGCCAACGGTAGCTAATCCCATAGTAGCACCATTTTTCTTTCCATTTTCCAGAGCATAAAGATCCAATCCAGTTACATAAAGACCCATGTCCCAGTGATGTAAACGATCATCCTCCGGAGGATTGCGAGCATTCGCGTAATTGCAAAACGAATCCAATAAACTACCTCTCTCGCCACCAAAATGTGGTAGATCAAACGGTTGTCTCTGAATAATATCTAAACGTATTAACGAAATATCGATTGAGACACCGAGACTCGGATGATGATACAATGCTTGAATACCATTCACGTATGCTAATAACATATCACGAATCTTCTCGTCGTCTTCGTCTAGAAAAGATGAGAACAAATGATATGCAGCTTGATCGAAGAAAACTGCCAGCTCTAACGTTAATTTGTCTTTCGTAGATCGTATTCGGCGTCGCTTTGTTTCGAGAGATGGATCAACATGTCTCGGTGATCGTTTAATCACATGAAATTCACTAAACGGAATATCGGCTTCTTCTCGTTTAACATAATGATCGTATGGATCGATAAGTAAGGATGAAGATGCGAGCCTATTTCGCAAAGGTGTGATTTCCAATGTAATGTTCTCCAAAAAGACAAGTCCGTGCTACTTCCAACAGAGATACATTTGTTATCTTTTATATGTGTAGCCAGAGAGAGAGAGAGAGAGAGAAGGGGGAAAATAAGTGTTATTTTCTCACTGCAAAAAATATTACTGACCAATCCATGTTCTTGACAAAAACTTATAGCCGCGGAACCGATGTGATTCTTGTGAAGATAATAGCAAAGATCTGGTGCGCTTAATTGCGACAATTCTTCCTTTATGCCTTTAATGTTGTGTTTCCAAACTTGAAATTGAGGTGATACAATATTATCGTTTCTACGTAAATTCAGCTGAATCAATTGCCCAAAGACTTTGAAAGTTAGTGGAATCTGCAAATCGAATAACAAGTAATTTTCAACAATTAATAAATAATCGTATATTTTTGAAGAATAAAGAAAATTCTTGACAAACGATACAAACCTCCTGTGCACCTTTCGGATACCATACCGGCAACAATATTATTTCAGTGTCTTGTATATTACGCGCGTACACTTGGTCTAATAAAATTATTAACGTTAATCTCAATACAGAGGTCATACTGTTTCACCGCGCGTTTTAAGTTCAAGTACTTGGAAGAATATAATTAACGTCTCTTTATATATTTAGATATACATACCACACATATACACGTAATGTTATAAAACCCGTATATATTCGTTATCGTTTCGAAAATTCATATAAAGTGCATGCTGGCACCTGTATTTAAAAACATATGATGTCATTGACACTTGTGTGTGTGTGTGTGTGTGTGTGTGTGTGTGTGTATATATATATATATTATTTATTTTTTTATATGCTATTCATATAATTTTTAGTTTTGAGCCGAAATTAACTTGTCTTATATGCTACCTGTAATGGCGATGTAATTTTGGAAAAATTGATTTATATAGATTCATGCTGATACGTGTAGCACGTAACAATAGTCATATTTGACTTTAATTGACAATAATTTGATTTCTTAAGACTAAGATTGATATCAGAATTTGCCATTTATCGAAACGCTGATAAATTGTGCCTCGGTAAAGGAGGTAACAAGAATATGGTAATAACTATGAAGCTATCATTTTATTTATGTCGAAAATATCGCTAAAAACTAAAAAGACACTACTAAATTAGATGCGGGAAGGTAAAAAATAATAGAGAAAAATTTTACTTGTTACAAATAGTAATAGTATTAAAATATCTCAATAAAAACAATAAATAATAATTGTGATCGATAATAAAATTAATTTATAGAAGATTCGGCAGTGTATCTAGCATGCTTGGCAATGCTTGTTATAACTATAAATATATAATGATGTTTAGAGGATATATTAAATAATATAATAATCAATTTCTCACAGTCTAATATGATAATCCTTTCATGCATGTATACATATGCATATGTATATCTTTGCATGTATTACGTGATTATATCATATCATTTCAAATAACACTTCAAAATATATATCTGTATAGATGTAAAAGATAAATCAATTGTGTATCTATCGTGTATCTATTGTGTGAATCTATCTCTATAATATCTAGATAAGAAATCCAGTGAATGTCAAGATTAACGTTTCAAATGCTTTAGACAATATTTTTTAGTGCAATTTGAAATGAATAGAATTGTAATACACACGTATACATAGGATGAAACTAAATTATACGTCGATACAACCAGGATTCAGAAGTTCAGAGCTTAAAATACGAAAAATAGATGTCTAACGAGATATATAGATATTTAAATTTCTGTATTTTAATAAATTTGAAGGAATGTTCGAAGGGCTTATTTTTTCTCTCTGTAACGTATGTGCAACGTGGCACATCTTGAAATTATATAAATATTAATAAATAATAAATCACGTCGAAACATGTTGGTTTGACATATAATTAAGAATCACCCTGTACACGACCGGAATAATTTCCGGTAATGTAAAAGAGAAAGAAATCTTTACACATACAATGTCGCACCGATTTTTTAAAGCGTCAGTTTCAAGTTCTACTTGCGGTTTACTCGACTTATTTCGCAGCACCGAATTGTACATGATGCTCAATATGATGCACCATACAAAACTTTGTAAACTGACTCGCAACTGTCATTCTTTGGATATACCATACGGTCACACAATAATGCATATAGATGTATGTACCGAAAACAAAAATTTGCTTTCAACTTTCCCTTTTAAAATACGAATATACTTTAAAGTGACTACTTTTTGCGGTCTGTTGTCATAATTCTATGAACCACGGTGAACACTTAGGTATATATCCTCCAAATGGTGGAGAATATAGCCGTATATAAAATTTGTAGCCAATATTTGCTACGAACACACAAAGGTTTTGCTGGCTCGTTTTTTTCCTCTTTCTCCAATGCCAATTGTTCGATCTATCGTAATACGCCTGTAATACATATCTTGTATACAAACATATATACATATCGAACATTTCACGTACGCACGCACACACGCACGCATATATATTGTGATATATATTTAAATTATGTATGACATTTTCTACAATGTTATATTTCTTTAATATGTCTAAATATGTGTAGCAATCGAATCAAACGTATGTATCTATGTTCGTGTTGTATTTTCGTGTGCATGTATACACAGTATACACAGGCGTTACGAGACCTCTTTATCTAATCTACACAAATATAGTATGCCAATCTCAATAGCATTACATTATTGTTAGAAGAGATCTAATTCATGGCAATTACTCACAAAGCTCTACAAAAAAGATTTGATTACTGTAATGATGGTGATGATGATGGTGGTAGTGGTGATGGTGATGATGATGACGACGACGACGACGACGACGACGACGACGACGACGACGACGACGACGACGACGACGACGACGACGACGACGACGACGACGACGACGACGACGACGACGACGACGACGACGACGACGACGACGACGCG